AGGGGTGAGGGGACAGAGAGAAGCAAGAAGCAAGAGAGAGCAAGAGATCAAGAGAGCAGGAGGGGCAAGCAGCCCCTTTTATAGTGGGCAAGCCTACCTAGCTGTTGCCAGGTAACTGTGGGGAGGAGCATACTTGGCTGTTGCCAGGTAACTGTGGGGAGGAGCATACTTGGCTGTTGCCAGGTAACTGTGGAGGTGGAGTTTAGACAGAATGCTAACACACGGTATTCTTGCTGGTTAATCTTTGCATATCAGTGTGCTGGTAGCCGCTGAATAACGCCGGGCTGCTAGAGAAACCTAAGCTCTCATCATGTCTCAACAACTGCAAGTATTTCAAACTTCAGAGAGCGACGAGATAACGGAGGAATCCTTTTAAAGAAATGAGACCGAGAACTGTGTTCTAGTGTGCTTCTCTGCGGCCAGGGTAGACCCCACAGCCAAAAGCAGCGTGGAAGAGGGCGTGTTTCACTCACACTTTACAGCTCACCCCTGAGGGAAACTGAGGCAGGAACCTGGAGCAGAGCCCATGGAACGATGCTTACTGTCTTGCTCTCTGTCGGTTACTTAACCTGTCTCCTTATACACCCACAGCTACCAGCCACGGTTGGTTGGGCTCGCCCACCTCCGTCATTATCAATAAAATCCTCCCACAGGCAAGCCCGCAAGCCAACTATGTGGTATCTGTGGAATATCAGATCCCCTGGAGTTAGAGCTGTGTACAATTGTGAGGCATTGTCATTCTAGGAATTGAACTCAGGTCCTCTCGCACAGCAGTCAGTGCTCTGAACCACTGAGCCATCTTTCCAGCCCCAGAGCAGCCAACTCTCAACTGCTGAGCCATTTCTCCAGTTCCTTTTAAACTTCTTAAAGAAAGTTACTGAAGCCTGTCTTCATGCTTCGGTGGTAGATACACTACCTAGTGAGCCATCCCCCAGGCGTCTACACTTACATGTTTAAAACTTACTTACGATTAGTTTTACTAATCTAGACTGTTCCCAGCTTGGGTGTGGAAATGTCATTCCAACATCTCCCTAGGTCTAGGGTCTGGAGTTGTTTACAGTTGGCAGAGTAGAAGCTTCGATGTCTAGTTTCATCAGCCTCTTAGTTTGATATTTGGAAGTAGCTACAACGCAAGTTGAATTTTATGACAGGCTGACAGGAGAGTGATATTTTAGGGTTCACGAGAGGAACAGAAGTGGTAGTCTGTACATGTAAAAGAGGAGTCACAAAACTGTCTTACGTGTCAGAGGCTGGGTAGTCCGTTCACGGCCATCTCTGTGCTGAAGAGCCTGAGAACTCAGTAGTTGCTCGACTCAGAAATCAGGAAACCTCAGAAGCCCCAGTCTTATACAGAAAGGATTGGAAGAACCTGGACTTCAGTCCATGCTGGAAGGCTAAGAAACTTCTTTTTCTTTGGAGAACTGAGGAAGGTTCCTCTCACCCGGAGAGGGTCTCGGTTAATCCTTTTGGAATGACTTCACACACCAGCCTGGAGGCTTGCAGGCGCCTTAGCTGACCCCAGAGCCCGTCAAGCCGTTCTCTTAGCTGACCCCAGAGCCCGTCAAGCTGGCAAGCAGTATGCAGAAAATTTGCAGTTACAGATTTATTCTTTGTTCCAGTTTGAAGCCAGATCATTTAAGGAGAATACAAAGAAAGAAAGTAAATCATTAAAACAGACCTAGCTAAAGATTCTTTTCAGGGGACTTCAAGGTCCAAACTGTGCTTATCCAAGACATAGTGGATTAGTTTTTGTGGTTGTTTACATTTTTTATTATGTTGCTATTACTGTAGATTGAAATGTGGAAATCCAGCTTTTTTCTATTGAGCCAGACATCAAAGAGACTTGGAACAATGTACAATAATGCTGGGGTTTTTTTTTGCCTTGAAAATTTAAAAATGATTTTATTACTTTATTTATTGCATATGTGTACATGTGTGCACACACTTCACATAGTGCATTTGTGTCAGAGGTCTCAGTGATATAACTCAAATCATCGGACTTGGTGGCGGGCACTTTTACACACAGAGCCAACCCTTGTGAAAAGGTGTGTGTGTGTCAGATCCAAAAGATATTGAGGACAAGTGGTTGACTATTAGCACACCAAAGTGTATGCTGGCTTCCTGGCTCACTCAGCTCTGGCTGTACCTGTGGCTCTTCTCACCCCTACCCTAAACTTCTCCAAGTCCTGGCCTTCCTTTCGCCCAGCTTTTCATTCTTATATAATCCCGCCACTTGGGCCATGAGTTCTCTAAGCCCCCCCCCCCTTCTCTCTCTCCCTCTCTCTTGCCTCCCTCTCTTGGTCTACCTCTCTTCCTCTCCCCACACACCTCTCTCTTCCCCATCCATTCTGCTGGCCTTGTTCAGTGTCCTACCTTCTCTCCTGCTCTGGTCTCTTCCAGATGCCTCTGGCTGGATTTTCCGTCATGTATCTACAATAAAAAAACCTTCCCCTCCACCGTACCTTGGATTGGTGATGTCCTCACTTTATACAGTATACAACTAGTGTGTGTACAGAGGCCTGAAGCAACGTGCCTGAGTGTGTGTGTGTGTGTATGTGTGTGTGTGTGTGTGTGTGCAAGCATGCAGAGGCCTGAAGCAATGTGTGTGTGTGCGCGCACAGAAACCTGAAGCTGATGCCAGATTTCTGCCTCAATCATCCTGTACTTCACTGACATCGATGGCAGGCCCACACATGTACTTACCTCACTGACATCGGTGGCAGGCCCACACGTGTACTTACCTCACTGACATCGATGGCAGGCCCACACGTGTGCTTACCTCACTGACATCGGTGGCAGGCCCACACATGTACTTACTTCATTGACATCAATGCCCACACATGTGCTTGTATACATTTCTGTTTTCCCTTTGAATGAAAAAAGAAATAAAAAGAAATGAAAAGGACAGGGCTGCTCCTAGTATGATAGAGGAGAAAGTTTATAGTAGATAAAAGGGAGAACATAGCCAGAGGCAGGAGCATCTGGGAAAGTCCAGAGTGAATGTGGCCAGACTGAGCTGGGCCTTGTGGGCGAGGAGAAAGGAGAGGGAAGAGACGGAACCA